TGATGATCAGTGACATGACATAAGAAGGAAAATAGGGCATTCTAACAGGATTGTGTAGGTCAGCTATGAACACACATTGGAGAGTGAAGATGACAATCTCCTAAATCTGTGTGTACTGCGGCTAGGGTGGATGTGTGTCCTGTGTTCAGCAGTAGCAGTCATTTTTTCTCCTTCTTGGTAGCTGGTGCAGCACTGTGTTTTTGACTTTTGGCCTGGGAACAGTGCTGGTAACACCGATGTTTTTAGTTGCTGCTCAAATGTTTGGTCTGGCCAAGGACTTTGTGAGCCTCATGCTCTGCCAGGGAGGAGGGGAAGCTGGGAGGAAGCAGGGACAGGACACCTGACCCAAACTGACCAAAGAGGTATTCCATACCACAGCATGTCATGCCCAGGATGTAACTGAGAGTTACCCTAAGGGCTAGAGGACTGCGGGGTTGGAGGAGGTATTGGTTGGTGCTTGGTTGGGCTGGGGGGTGTGAGTTATCGGTCGGCGGGTGGTGAGGTGTTGTATTCTCTTCCCTTCTTATTTTCTTTGTCATTATTATTACTGGTGGTAGCAGCAGTGGTTTTGTGTTATACCTTAGTTACTGGCCTGTTCTTATCTCAACCCGTGGGAGTTGCGTTCTTTTGATTCTTCTTCCCATCCCTCTGGGAGCAGGGGGAGGGCAAAAAGGGGGGGAGTGAGAGAGTGACTGCATGATTTATGGCTGACTTTGTTTAAACCACGACAATGTGTTGCAGAAAATCAGAAGATCCAGTGGTGGCAGGTTTGCATCCCAACAGTTTCTCTGCTAGGTTAGGTCAGAACTATCAACCGTAACTCCCTCTGAAACGAGATCACTGAACCAAATTTTAGGAAAAATAACCGTTTTTCAGCCAAGATCCTTTTGAAAAGATTCATTGCACTTAACAGCTTGTGCATATTAATCTGTACAGTTTGGAAAGAACCAAATTCTCTCCTTTGTCAGAAGACCAATATTTTGGCAGAGTTAAGTATGCTGAAATTGTGCCCAGAAGGCAAGGAAGCCCATGGGTGAAAGCTGCAGCAGCCAAGAAGCAGTGTAGCTTTGTTAGATTTGGTTTTCTGTAGTGGTATATTTTCTTATGTTCCTTTTTATTCCAGCTTTGTAATGAAATGTGTGCTGTTGTACTCTGCTAGAATAACTTTTTTTTCCCTGAAATATCAAAAGTGACCCCTGGGGATCTAGCAGGAGCTGGGCTTCTTTCCCCTAAGGAGCAGCAGATCTGCAGTGATGCATAGGATCAGCTCATATTTTGGGGTTCTTGAGAGTTACCTTCTGTGACAGGATTTGATTTAGTGTTGTAATGTGAGGTAAGGGGTTAGTGTAGAGAAACCTGCTTTGGCATCTGCAGCTACTTTCCTGGAGAGTAGCAGGCAATGGGTAGATTTATCGTTTGAGGAATACCCACTTGCACTGCATCTGACGAAGGGTTGTTGGTATTGCTTATTAAGGCTTTTCTCTAAGAAATGCCTATTCCTTCATCCCTGCCCTAATTTTACATGTGTCCTCTATATGCTTAACTAAAAGCTTTTCTTCATAAAGCTTAATTATTTTTATGTGTCTGACAAGCAACTTCTAGAGAGAGTATCCATTTCAGGTGCATTTATAGAGTTTGGCATGTGTGCCCCTGGATGAGTACAGGGAAGATGGAAAGAAACTGCATTTTGTGGTTTTGTTCTCTCTTGCCTTGAGTATTTCTATTTTTTGTGTCTTAAAGAAGCAGCCAGAAAGAAACATGGGGAGTGAGATACATGATGTACATGATGGTTTGATTTGGCTTCCTGAAAAGCCACTTGTTATTTTGTCCTTGGCTTTCTCCTTGTAAAAGGAAAACACAGAGGGTTTTCTAGCAATATATCCTGGTGACCTTCTCATCAGACAGTGTGCTGGATATGTCTGGGATAATTTTCTTTGTAGCAGCTGGTATGGAGCTGTGTTTTGGGTTTGTGCTTGAAACAGTGCTGTAATTCAGGGATGTTTTCGTTATTACTGCTTCTGAGTGGTGCGTAGTTGCTGTCTGGAGTTAAAAGGCAGCCAGGAATGTCTAAATGCTACATCCTTGGTACTTTACCAGAGTGTTTTGCAAAGCTTTATTCATTGTTACAAGCCTTTAGGTGGGCAAAGGCTCATCTTGGCACAGTTAAGCTGAAGGATTTATATGTAATTATAACTAATATTAACTGATCTGGAAGTTCTTTTTTAGCGATATGTGATTAAGATTAATAGATACATCATAAGTGGTACTCTGGCAGCCACCTATAATTGTTCAAAGGGTGGTTTTTAAATTGGCCTTTTTGTGTAGCATGTTGGTAATGGGTGTTACGCTTTTCCCAAGCCTTTGCAGGGGGATTTATGTGACAACAAAGTGGGGTCAAGATATGGGGTGTTGTGTGACCATGTTGGGCAGTGGGGTTGTCACACAACTCTCTAAGAGCTTGGTAATGCAGCCAGGTTCATAAGATCTACTCTTTTTAGATCTACATTTATTCCTTCAAATAATAAACACTGTCCAGTGGTACAGATATAGTGGAGAAAACTGTTGTTTTAAATGGAGAAACTGGCAAAATGTGTGTGGGAAATCTTTTGCGTCCGACTTGCTGTCATGTAGGTAGGAAAAATATTGTTGTGGTGCCATGGTGCAACAGAATGTCTCTTGACTCTACATTAAACACTGATCTGGCACCATGCAAACTGTTAAAGAATGGGTATCCTAAAAATACAAGACACTTTATGCTTTGGAACGACTCTTCCAAATGGTATTAGAAAAGCAGCCCAGTGATAACATTACCCAACTCCCGATCCAAATGTTATTCCAAAATACTAAAGCTGTGGCCTCATGTACAGCACTAAAGGAACCCGGGATATGTTGTCTTCTCTGCAGAGTCAGGGTGGCTGTCTGTGGGGCTGTGCAGTGAATCAAGCTAGGACCTGGTCCAGTGGAGCAGTTTTCTACCCTGTTCCCTGGACAAGCTCCCTGCCTGTGGATCAGAAACCAGCTTCCAGGGATAGGAGAAATTCTGGCATTTCTCTGATATTCATCTTCAGCCCTCAGGTGATTGCTAGAATTTTCTTGGTTTGTTTTGTGGATAAGATACCTTTGCAAAATAGAAAGTAAGTTAACTCTTGTTTTTACACCACATGATTTTTCACCTAGAATCGGGTAGGTGTGTATGTTTGCCATTGCTGTCTTGGGAGATGTTGAACTTGATGCAGAACAACTGCATCAGACAATGAATGGAGACATGGGAGGAAGGGAAAATGTGTAGCTATGATCTCTCATCTGTAATATCAGATTGTTAAGATATGTTAAAAAATCTAAAAGCCATCATGTTTAAAATCACTGTCAGCATCCCAACCCTAAAGGAGCTCCAAAGATGAGCTTGAGAACTCTATTAGGTATCAAAAATAATGGCCCAGTGAAGACTGATTTATGTCATGTTATACATAATTTTCATTTCCCTCTGATATTCTGTAAGCAATAAGATGCCCTTCTTCCTTTGTAGACTAATCCCATCAGCTTCTGCCTCCCCATCCCCAGCTGACCCTTTCTTAGGTTACTGAAGCAATCAACATCATTCAGCAGTTGGTACTGATTTATATTCACTTTTGAAGTTCAGCTCCTTTCCCAGGCCTGGTTAAGGACCTGTTTGCCTACCCCTAGATGTAGCAGGCACTGGTGGTCAAACCTCGCATCCTCAAACAGCTGCTGACTGCCACTGCCGCTTTATCCATAGCACTGTTTTAAAGCTGTTTAGACCTTGCTGGTCTGTGCCTTGAGAGCTGAAAGGCTGCTGGATGTCTGTTGTGAGCTTGCAGTCTTCCTAGCTTTTATTTTTTTCCCTCCAGTTTGTAGTCTAACGTGCTTTAAGTCCTGTCAAAGGAACAACACCCAGTGCCATTTATTCCAGTGTAAGTATTATCACATGCAATGGTTATTTGTGCTTCCTTGACTTATCTGCACATCTAATAGGCTTCACGTCACCTTTGAAAACTCAAGCTGTGTTGTGTCTCCAGGTTCTACGGGAGCAGCAAGCTGTCTCATCAGGCTGTTGTGAAATGTCTCATTTATCTGAGCTGTCTTGACTTTTAAAGTGATTCTGCTCAAGACTTGTGCATGGAGTAACACCTAAATCTACTGGTTTTCCTCCAGGCATGTCAGGTTATTGCTTTAGATATGTATAAACATAACAAGTTGCAACACTCTGATAGGAAAATGTGCTCTTACCAGCTGCTATATGCATTCTTGTACAGGCGATTCTGCAATCAGAAGCATAAACAACCCCTGATTATTACTTAAATAATTGTTACTACTTAATTAAGTTGAAAGTCTCCTGAATGACACACAGAAAATAGGTTAAAATCCCTTTTCTTGTCACTGCTGAAACTCAGTTTGTAATGTTAGCACCTTAATTGGGACTACTTTGCTTTGGACTTAATGCTACAACTAAAGAATATGCAAATAAAAATGTCATGTTCTGTTACTGCTCCTGCAGTTTCTGAGGCTGTGATCTTGGGGCAGGGTGGTGGCGGCTTGTTTTGAGCTAGGCCATAATAATTACAGGGAGGATTGTTCTAATACTTGTCTCATAACGATGATTTGCCATTTCTTTTTTGTATGTTAATGCCAGTGGGTTTTGCTTTGTTTAGGCTGCTGGAGCTGGAAACATGCTTAGGAAGAAAAATCAATGTAAATTTAGCTTATAATTTAGTATACATCTTTCTAAGCACAAAGAGTTTGTAGACTAGTAATGGCGCAGCATTTTAACTCTTGAATGTTTAGCTCCAGCTTTGGATGAAACAGCAGGAAGCATTAAAGCATAGAAGAGCAAGGACTTCCTGTTAATTTACCTGTGTATTTGCTTGGTGGGGTGTGTTCTGGGGTTTTGAATAGTTTTTGATCTTTGCTTGCTTCAGAGGCGTTAGTTTTCTTGCACTGCTGTGGGTATCTGAACAGGGTTATTTTATTTCATTTTATAGGAAGAAAATGGCCCAAACTACTGCACCAGCAACATCCATTCGTGATAAGGATTTCTCTGAAAGCAGAATGGTGATTACATTCCTCATGTCAGCACTTGAGTCAATGGTTAGTAGAGAAATTAAGCAGCTGCATCATTACTCTCTTGGCATGTGCAGGATTACACCACGACATTGCCTCCTCTGGGGAGCAGGAAAGGTGTAATTTCATCTTCACCTTACTGTGTGCCGTCCAACCTGCTGTTAACTCTGTCTCTTTGCTTATGGCAAATCATGCTAACAGTCTTAGCAATCATCTTGTTTCTTGTTGTGATGTGGTTGTTTTAAAAATTATTTTGTCAAATAAACAGGAAATAATTATTGATTGCTCAGGTAGAGTGTGGTTGAAAGGCAAGAATCTGTTCTGGTCTTTGCCTTCTGTAATACAGGGTGAATAAACGCTCTTGAGGCTAAAGCCTTGTCCTCAACTGCTGTACCAATTCAACAAAACTTGTTCAGAAAAGACTTTTGTATTTAGTTGGCCTATCATCCGTTTTGTAGAAGTTATTTAATCATTGTGTTGTGGGGTTTAAGTTTGGCCCAGGGCTGTGAGTAGAAATGCTTGTCCTGTTTTCATAAGGTTGAGGCACTGTCAAATATTTGGTTCTTTAAAATCATTTTCTTAAATGATAAGAACAAAAATTTCCTTTTTAGCAATGGAACTTGAATGGGATGGTTATAAGGTAATTGATTGCAAGCCTTTTTTTCCAATGTCTGTATTCAATTCCTAAAGGTTTTGTGTCACTTTTTGCTCTTGCGCTGCAGTAGGTGGTGTTTTTTATAGGTTGCAGTAATCTCTGATTTGAGTTCCTAGGAGAAATTGACTTCTTGTGATCCCTTCTTGATGATCTCGCTAATTTTCTTAGAATCTTTGCTCTCTCCCTGTGCCACAGGCTTCTTACTTCACTTCTTTGCCAGAAATTTCTCGCAGCAGAATGCATGTAGGCGTTCACAGGGAAGGTGCATTCCTTCTGCTCAGGAGGAATTCACCTGAGCCTGAGCACAGCAGGTGGGACGAGGCAGACTGCAGGCAGCTTTCCTGCGCACAACCACACCTTTCTGAACAAACATGATGTGTGATAAGCCTGCTGCGACTGAACAAACTCCTGTATGCTCTGTTGAAAGTTGCAGTAAGACACTCAATATGATTATCTAACAGGGAAGTGATAATTTCACATGGATTGATGTCATAAATCACTTTAATTAAAAACAGTGCAATCTCTGAGTCTACACAGGGCCTTAATTTCCCTAATGCATCTACAATGCTTTTAAGATTCCTGATGAAAAGCACTTCAGATGTATAAATTATCCTTTGCCAATCGCTGATGTTATGTTACTCGCAGTACCTTCTAAAGGGTGGATGCTGGCAGCTGAAGTAGTAACTGTTTTACATGATACCACGTATATTTCTATTAACTGTACTCTTAACTATAGTAATAAAAACTTTTGTTTTTCTTTTTATAGTGTAAAGAACTTGCCAAGTCCAAAGCAGAAGTTGCCTGTATTGCTGTGTATGAAACAGATGTGTTTGTAGTTGGAACTGAGAGAGGAAGAGGCTTTGTCAATTCTAGGAAGGATTTTCAGAAGGATTTTGTTAAATACTGTAAGTTCCAATGTTGTGTTTTTATATTTCACAAGCTGTGTAATGTGTTTTGCATAATACTAATAACTTTTGGGAGCAAAGGTCTATATATCATGGCTACATGGTATAATTATGTTGACTATAGCAAAACCAGCTGTTTAAGAACATAAAAATGATCAGTAACAGTGGTCTTGTTTGGAGTGTTATTTCAACTGTGGATGAAAATGGTTTGTTTTTTTTTTCTTTACATAATGTGACAAACTAGTACAGAGAAGTATTAGACTTACACCACATCCTGCATTTCCTAGTACATGTTAATTTTTCTTTGCAATTCCTCTAAATCTTGCACTGGCAAAGGCTGGATGTCACATTCAACAGGTAGTGGACTTCTTCTGTCAGCTCACATGGGCCTGGTTCTTCAGATCCCTTCATGCCTTATTAAAGCAGATGCACATTTTTTGACAAGATATTTTTATGTAGCTTTTCTATATCACTGTTACTTACTAGACAGAAAGATGTATTTATATCCTAATGACTTAAAATCACATCTGCATTACACACATCTAGGGTGTGCTTTTTGTTTAATTTCAGTTTTATAGTAAGACAGTGGGACTTAATGGTTTCATAAACCCTTATCTATTGAGTATAGGGCAGTATTTTTAGGAGGTAGGTTTCAAAGTTTCAGACTCTTTCGTGAAGAATTGATGTGCTCACTTAGGGAAGTGATGTCGATGGACACTGCTCAATAACAAAATTTACCTGCATAGGGAAAGGAAGAAGATGCAAGTTCAAGAACAGAGAGAAGAATCACTTTGGGGAGGGGGGGGGGAGTTTGGGCAACAGCTATAAAATATTCTGGTTTGACTAATTAAAAACTGCTTGGAAAGCAACTATGTTTAACATGTAATAAACATTTGCTTCTCAGAATGCTTTTGTTGCTAGCTAAGTTTCTCCTGGAGGTTTTGTCTGGAGGCCGTTCGTTTGTGGTGAGGCTCTGGATTTTTGCCACTGTCCTACTTGCTTGGACAATGACTTCGTGTGCAAAAGTATATTTACTCTAAGGAAAGACACCCCAATGTTGCGTTGTAACAGATAATTGATATCAAAACGCAGAATTACAGCCTGACTGAGGCAGTGCTCCCATACTGGTATTTATGAAAACTGTTAGCTGAATTATGGGGGAAGTTCAGTTTTTCACCTTATTTCCTCTTTTTGCTTGTTATTGTCCCTTAAAGGACTTCCCTGAGATCCTACATACTTTGTTTTATTGCCAGTACAGTGGTACTATGGGCCCTGATATACAGGAGGCTGTATACTGGGTATATCCATTGGCAAGGAGTCTGAAATAACTGGGATTTGGTGTTTAATCCAGGGAAGCACTGGCTTCTCATCCGTGCTTATGTTTGACTGTATCGTGTCCATGTGTTCAAATTTTACATCAGAACTGATAATCCTGATCCTTTGCTTTACTCCAGTTACAAGGTGCTTGTTCTTGGGCAGTGATTTTTATGCTGTCAGACTGATGAGATGAAACAGTATCCACTTTGGACACAGTGTTTTTGTTCTGCTTCTTGCAGAACATAGGGGTGTAAATCCGTCTGAATAAAGCCAACTAACCTCAGTCATTGCTATCATGATACGCACTTCACTAAGTGCGTATCCCCTGTTCTTCCTGGAGAGTTTTGGTGCTGGAGGTAGTTTCCTCCTGTTGCTGACAAAGGTGTCTATAATTCCAGAAAACCTGACTTCAGAACACAAATTTTTAGGAATAATAGTATTACATATTCCTGGTGATGCTGGTTCCATCACTGCCTCTGACAACTTTGAGGTCTTGATGAAATTTATAGTGTAATATCTTTTGATCCAAAACTTAGAACTGTGGAGGCAACAGTGCCTTTCCTTTAGCACCTCATGTCTTCAGTTAAACGTGAGAGCTAGCAATGGACAGTGTTAGTTGCAATTTTAGTAGGTCCTTTGGAAATGCCCAGGAAGGCCACAGTTCTGTGTGGTTTTAATACATTAGACTTGGGCCCTTTTTGTTCCTTTCTGATGGATAAAGGCTTCCAAGCAATTCTTATAGGGATGTTAGAAAGAAACTGTTAAAAATCCAGCTGGGATGTTGGCCTCTGGAGCACGTGGTGCTGACAATATGGAGAATTAGCTCTCCACTTGTGTGGGTCTCTTAATTTCTCTGTAAATCTGGAAACAAGCGTGGCTACTAAGCATTCCTCTGGTTATGTTTGACTGTTATGACAAGCCAGCATGTGTCTCCAGTCCTTACTTCCACTTTTCCCACAACTCTTGTGTGTAGTTCGAGTAAATATGAAGAGCTTTCCAGCATTTGGAGGGCTCAGGCTTCAAGCCTGCTGTTACTTTTAGTAATAAGTATAATTTAGTGGGCTAAATTGATGAAATGTGCACATAAGCTTTATGAAGGTAGTAGCATCTATGCTTTCTAGGAGTATAGGGCAGATAAAAATAACAGCAGTTCAGTGGCAGCAGCACTGGGGTTGAGTTTCCTGTGGCTTTCATTCTTGAGGATTTTCACCCACATGGGTTTTCTAATGCCTAGTGCAGGGAAGAAGTCCTGCACATATCTCATGTACTGTGGTACCCTAAAAAAATGCATTAAAACAAATTATAGCAATGTTTTGGGCTTTTTAAAAAAAATATTAATATGGGTTGTGTAGTGAGTGTTGAAGAACCAGTCAACAGGCAGTAGTTATTTAAAATTGGGGCAGATAATGTATTCTTCTGACATGTGCTTAATGAAGAGGGCTGTAAGCCGTGTCTTACAGTGAAATGGTATGTTTCAATAAGTGTAGCACTGTGCTGTGCTTGTATGTATAACACGTAGCTTAAGTAACCTACAGTGAGTTACTCTAAGCCTGTGTAAGTTTATATTGTACATAAAAGTGTATTCTTCCAGTGCCTGCTTATATTCAGAGTATGGACAAGCATGGATACTTGTGCCCTGTAAGGAATCAAGATCATACACGTCTTGCTCTACCAGTGCCTCTTTATTTTAGTTGAAGTCTACTGTGTGGTCCTTAGTTCCTCTTGGATGGCCTCAGCAAGATGAAGTGCCTCCTTGCTCTCTGGATTTCTGTGGAGTTATCATCTGTCCTGAACAGGAAGACCTGTTGCTGGCAGGTGTCTCAAGAATGCTGTTTGCTTCATATATTCATCTGCATCATCTTGTCAGTTTCCCTTGAGTTTTGGTTAAGGCTTGGTGTCAGCTCTGTGGAATTCACTCTCATTTGATTGGAACTGGAGGTGGTTTATAGCACAGACAAAAAAAACCCAACCAAACTGTTACTGCTGAACCCAGGACAGACTGTCAGGTGAATATCAGAACAGCTTCCTCATTTGAATACCTTTTTGGTCATCTGCTCTGGACTTCGAGAGAGATGTGGGTTCCATAACATCTGCCAAGGAACTGATTGTTCTCCAGGAATCCTGGTTGCCTCTGCTAGCATTTCCAGTGGTCCCAGCTGTTGCACCGTTGGTATGTAGGTCTCACAGAAACATAATCCTGTGAGTTCTGCAACTTTCTGTCAGCTCTCCCAGTCATGCTGCTTTTTCCTTCTGTGGTGCCAGGGCTCTGGGCTCACTTGCCTGAGGTGGGGCCATCTTGCTTCTGTAGGTGATTCATCTTGGATGATAGGTTCTTTATTAGCAGCCTTCATTTTCCTTCTGGTGGCCTTATGTTTCCATGCTGATCTTAACAGTGCATCTGATATGGGCCAGAGTTTGGCTTCAAGTCCTGCTAGAGACTTTTATTTCAGCGTCTTTCATTCTTTTTACCTGTACCTGCATGTCCATCCAGCCACAGGTTGTAAGAACTCCTTGTAGCTTCAAGAATGCTTAGAATCCGTATGTTTTTAATGGGCACAACTGTTCCTCCTGTTTGTGATGAAGGAATGGCACACGATGCTCCAAAGACCTTTTGGGAAAGATTGCTCAGCTTTGGCTCCTCAGTATCTTTGGTGTGTGGATCACTGTTCCCTTTTGGATGTTCTCCATCATCTGTAGGCAAGTAAAATGACTCTTCCCATAAACTAGGTTGCTGTAGCATCTGTGGCTAGGCTTCTGTCTCATTGAATTCTTCTGGCCTTTGAGCAAATACAAGTATCAGGTTTTCTGGGGAGGTCTTCATCTGACATTGTGCTCCCTTATCTCTTTCTCTGTTACTAATGTAATGCTTCAGCAGTTTAGAGGGGGATGGAAAAAGCAAACAAAACCAGAAACCTGAAAGGCTGGTTTAAAAACAAAACAAACTCAAAACTGGCAAGTTCTGAACTGGACTGGCAACTGTTTGACTACTTTGGCCTGCTGTAATTTCTGTCTGAATACCTAGAGTTGGCATTTCTGGGCTTGCAGTAGCTTGCCCCAGTAGTCTAGAGAAAATTAAGCATCTCTGGCTGAAGTTATACCTCATCTGGGGTCTTGGTATGGCAGACGCCAGCCTCCTACTCCATAGCTGAAATTACAGCCATGCAGTGACTGTCCTTGCTTCAGGGTTTGGCATCCACAGAAGCTGCTGTTCACTGTGCAGGATCTCTTCTCTGTAAAGAATGAAGGCTTCAAATACACAGAAAGACTACAGGGCAATCCTTTGGTCTTTGGGGATATGTAAATGGGATTCTGAGTACATCACATGTACATTGGCGGAGTGTCAGTCTGCTCCATCCCTAGCTGTTCATCCCCATAGGCTGGAGGATGCCTGTGTGGGATTAAAGCAAAGTTGCTGCATGGACCTTGCCTTCAGGCAGCCTCTTCCCAGCTATGCCAAAGAGGTGCAACTCACTTCTGTCTCTGCTTTCTGTGTTCCAGTCAGTGTCAGAATTTTAAGCTGCTCCTAAGGATTCTCCTCATGAAATCATACTCTTGCTGTTCAGTGAGTGACAGAAATCGTTTTCCTCACATTAAATGTTAATGTTTAAACTATGACTACACGGGACAAAGCTGCTCAGGTGTTGCTAGAGGCTGTTTTGCATCTCCAGCTCTGATGCTGCAGC